GGCATTCAGCCAGGAGTCTTGCATATCCCGAGGCTTTTGCTGTACTGTGCTGCAAGCATTGCTCAGAGCCTCTGTTTGGCTGTGGAGGTGGGATCATCTATATGAGCCTTGTAAGCGCGACGTTTGTCCTTAAGGACAGATGATACAAACAATTATTTTCTTTGAAAAAGATTAAATATCAAGTCACAAGTATAGAAGAGTGGATGGTTCTTAGATTTTGTTCTCCTTAGAACTGAAATATGAAAAACACTTGGAAAATATAAGTAATATTTCAATGAGAAAACAAATAAAGACAAATCACATTCAGTAAAGGTTTACAGGTGAAAACAAATTTCAGAATATGTTATCGTGGTGCTTAAAGTGTAATATAAACTGAAGAAAAATATACCAAGCCAGGTTAATTTTATAAGGAAAAGCTAAAATGTAAAAATCAGCCTCTGTGATATTGCTATTTTTTTGTCCTTTTGTACCTACTCTTAAAATTCACCTGGCTTGGTATATTTTTCTAAAGTTCATATTACACTTTAAGCACCAACGTAACATATTCTGAAATTTGTTTTCACCTGTAAACTTTTACTGAATGTGATTTGTCTATATTTGTTTTTTCATTCAAAAATTACTAATATATTCCTAGTCTATTTCATTTTCCAATTCTTAGGAGAAAATATTCTATGAAGGAACCACTTTTCTAAACTTGTGACAAGATATCAAATCTTTTTCAAAGAAAAAAAATGTTTGTATCATCTGACCTTAAGAAGCTGCCTGATCTCAGCTCGGTTCCATCAAACTAGTCTTTGTGTTTTTTGGTGGAGGGCCCAAGACAAAGGCTGTATTGTACACTGTATTACGAAGTGTGCCCCATGCTGCCTCCATGTCGTGGTCATCCAGCACGGTGGAGTTCAGGCGTTCTTCCAGGGTGTCAGCAAAGTACTGAGAGGTGGAAGGCAACTTGAGCTTGCCAACGTTGAGACGTTTTAAAGCCTTAGTCCCCTGAGGACGTTCATGTATCCTGAGTTTTATCCGGAAGTTGAGAGTTATAGCTTAGAGACGATGAGACGGTGACCTGTCCAGCACTCCACGCCGCACATAGCGTTGGTGAACAAACGAACTTTCTGTCCGTCTCTCTTCCTGACAATGACGTAGTCAATGAGATGCCAGCGTTTGAGAGAGGTTGCATCCATGACGTCTTGTTACCGATGGGAAGGCAGAAAACTGTGTTAGTGATGAGAAGGCCATGTCCAGCGCAGGTCTGGAGAAACAACAGTCGTTACTGTTGCACTTGCCCACTCCGTGCTTCCCAATCACGCCTTTCCCGGTGGTAGTGTCACGCCCAACTCTCGCATTAAAATCACCAAGAATTATGAGCTTGTTGCATTGGGGATGGCGTTGATGACATTGAGGAGGTTTTTATAGAACTTGTTTTAGCCTCCTCTGGGATGGGAAGGATAGGAACATATGCGCTCACAATAGTGGCGAACTTTCCTCGAGTGAGAGGGCCTCATCGTCATCAGGCGGTCGTTCACTCCTTTGAGTATGCCGACTAGCTTGCCAACAAGTGTCGTCTTTATAGCAAAGTCTACGCCAGCTTCTCGTCTCTCCTTGGCTCCTCGTCCACTCCAAAAGAAGGTGTAGCCAGCGTCTCTTTTACACAGTTCATCTTCCATCCATCCTGGTTTCACTGAGAGCCGCAATGTCAATATCTCGTGAGTTCGCTTGCTATCAGTGCTGTGCGTCGCTGAGGTATATCTGTATTGTCTCTGTCGAGAATCGTTTGAACGTGCCACGATCCAAGGTGGCAAAGTGGAATGATCTTTTTTTCTTGTTCTCTTTGTTATTTATGCCTTGTTCCATGCATTCCATGGTGCTTGTTGTGTCCGTCTTCTTCTCCGTTGAACCAAGACGTTTCATCCGCAGAGTCCGCCGGTGCACAGTCTTTACATGCGTTAGACAATCCCTCAATCAACAGGGTTTGAGACCCGTCAGAGTTTTGTGTAGAGAGTGCTCTCCTAAAGGGATCTCCCTTAAGAGGATACGGGTTCCCTCTACCCGGACTATAGTGGAGGGAAGGGGCGTTTGGCCATTGCAGGTCGTGAGACACTGTCCACTGCCCACAAAGCACATATATATTGAAACAAATGATTGTGCACATATGTTGCTTAATGTTGATGTCAAAATATATAACAAATTACAGGTTTAACTGAGATGAACATACAAGTGTCCATAATCACCATGGTTTAGCTTGAGATTAAATAAATAAAACATTTTAAATAAAGGCTCTACTTGAGGCCTAATTTTTATCTTGTTAAGTAAAGAATATACGCACAGGGTTAATCAAGGGAAAATTTTTCAATTTTCATATTTAGGATAGGGATGAAGATTTACTATTAAATCAAGTTATATATATTTGTTACTGAAATATTGTTTTAAAATGCTAATTCGGGATAAAAATTCCTTAAATAAAATGACCGTGCATATGTTTTTAATGTAAAATTTTCACAGTAGTTATTTCTTTCAGCTGATAAAAACTTCAAAATCGCATATTTCACTTTTATGATAAAGGGTAGAAGTATATTCCTATATAATTTAGACGGCTCATTACAGAGCCAATATTGAATAATAATTGAACAGGGTAATAGCATGGTTTGCATTCAAACGGATTTTCAAGAAAATATCTTTCGAAATAAGATAGAAATTGCGTATTGAAAAATCTACCTTCTCCTTTCAAAGACACAGCTGAGAGAACGAACAAGTTGGGTTGGTGTATATACACGATTGATACACCATTAAAGCCACAATAAATTGAATGCTATCATACATTTTCTGAAGGTAGAGATGTATGTCCTTCAAAAATTAACTATGAAAATTATTCACCCAAGATGGTACCGATACCGAAAAATTCATGTCCTGGCTCATGAACTACTTGTTTCATCAATGATTATCAATAGCTGTTTATGATTATCAATTGTTCTACGTCAAAGCCGCGTTATGTGACGTCACAATAGCGACGTTTGTTTTTACCTGTTGACTTTTGCAACTGTGATATAGGCATAACATTGTTAATAATCAATAACGTACCCAATTTACAAAAAGAAAATTTATTTATCATTAATTAACAGTTTTGATTTATGGAGTTTGTTAATATTAGAATTTTCATTCTTTGGTTGATAATTAGTAGCGATTTCAGTTGTGAATAAATACCTCGATGATATGCTGTTATATAAGTGCAAAAAGGTAAGATAAAATTCCGCAAAGAAAGCGGCTTAAATCAGGAAAATATGTTTAAATTTATGTTTACCATTAATTGTATTTTCTGGATAAAAAAAAGAAGAAAAAAAGAATGTACTTGTGCCTATATTTGCTGAATAATTCATTTATAGTACATGTAGATTTTATTGTGATAAAGTCATTCCTAGGTTCTAATAGGTGTTGGTTGTTGACGGGCAAATGGGGGGGGGGGGGGCAGAATGATTGGAATGAAGAAGAAAAGAATTAATATGTTTAAATTGTTTCTAATCAAAACAAAATACTCGTTTTTCGCAAAATAGTTTTATATTCGGATGTTTGTCAGTGCTTACGTTCTTTTTTTTTAGTGCAGAAAGGTCAATATTTATGACACAAGAAAACGTCATATTTCTCGTTTATTTTATCATAAAGGCATAGTTTTTTTCTTTGTTAAAAGAAAGACATGGATCATTTCTTTCAAACAATATGAACTACAACATTTTCACACAAAGACTTTTTAAGATATTACCTGTTATGCATGTCGAAATTGTAAAAAATACGACAAGAAAAACGGGTTGATACTTACATTTACTCCATTATAATATTTCATGCGAGATTAATTACAACGAATTTGCTTTAATTTTAAAGATACAAGTCATATAAATGAAATACCTGTTGGTTTTGAATGTGATTTGATATTTTTGGTTCTTTTTAGAGCATATTTGGGGTAAAAAAATAATGTTTCAAAATAATCTATTTTTAGCATTTCACACTGTTTTTGCACGTGCTTCCGTGTAAAAATAAGCATATAAAGGTATTGTTTTTAATACCTAAAAATTAAGAGCAAGTGGTTAGGAAAGAAATGTCAAAGTTTTGAAAATTTCACACAAAGACTTTTCGGACATAGGTCCCCCCTTAATAACGAATGGTTTATAGATACAAATTATAGTCACTAAATTACGGAACTAATTATCCCCAAAAGTCATGAATAACTTCAGTAAAAATTTAATCATTGTGTATGTTGTGTAGAAGGCATCTTTTATTGATTCAACAAGTTCCTCGAACAATAACCGGTGTGTCTTTTGTGCAGATATTTTCCTTTAAAGAGAATAAGGTGCAAGAGTTTGCACTTAGGAATCTGTATTATTCTTTTATTTAAACACTCTAGCCTTTATATGATGTATTATTCGTGTTACCTGTTTTTCGAAGTATTGTATTTCTGTATAATGGCTAAATTGCATGACATATGGACACAGATTGAGGAATATTTGGTAACTTTTATTTTAGAAAATTGAAGTTTAAATGAGTCTTTCCTTTTGATATCATACGGTAAGTTAATTACATTTATCATTATCTTTTCCAAAATTTATTTTGAGACTGTTATATGCATTAATTACAACTGAACTCTTGTTTCGTTAGATCAGCTAAAACACAAATGCATATATTTTCAGAATATACATATACAAAAAGTAAGAAAAACTTACCTTCACAAAAATAATAAACACTTTTTTATGAAAGGGGATAGTTTAATGCAATTACAAGTACAACTGTATATTAAAATTTCAGTAGGATCGAAGAATTGAATTCTTCTTTAGAACAGAACAGAAATTTATCCATTTAAGAAAGAAATCAGTACCTAAAATAAAACTAATAAATCAGTTCCTAAAATTAAACTGATAAAAGAATTGATTTTTAAAATTGTTAATGTTTATTTTCAGTCATAGATATCGAAAATATGAAATGATCAACATTAATCCACCTTTTCATTTTTCGTGTTTGTTTTCGTGTTCTCAACCCATATGCAACAAGGTAGGTTTTTTATTGATTGATTATTGTTTAACGTCCCTCTCGAGAATTTTTCACTCATATAGAGACGCCACCACTGGCCAGTTGAAAATCCTATCTTTTTATATCTGAATATTTTTCATTTCAGTTATTCTACGTCCAACAATTGGATTCAGTGCTCAACTTTCCAAGCATGTCTACTTAGGAGATGCACAGGCAGTTAAATACGACAAAGTGATAACAAATTATGACCAAGGATATAAGAAATTTACTGGACATTTTACAGCACCTTTGAAGGGACTGTATTTGTTTTCTTGTACCATAATGGAATATCGAGACTACTACATTCATGTAGAAATTGTCAAAAATAGAGTAAGAATATCAACCATTCATGCTAATAAATATGTCTTCGACCAAAGTTCACAGACAGTAGTTCTTGCCTTACGTAAGGGTGATTCTGTATGGACAAGACAATCAGCTTCCGAGCGATATCTTTGGAAACACATCGGGTATAGCATGTTTACCGGAATCCTTGTTTCAGAAGATATCTGACATTTTTTTTATCTATACAAAATTTTATTCACATAAAGTGAATGATCGGGCAAGGAAATAGAATGAAAAACTAATAAAGAATCAATCTCAATGATAACTGATAAAATGTTCATTAAAAAACATTTTTCGAGTACTTATTGTTATTTTTTTAAAATTCTAATTGGAATATTCTTATTCACAGGTTTTAGTTCATACCCCCTGGTGGCTTTGATGAAAATATATTCTGTTGAAAATTTCGCCAGGCGATGGAACAGATATTAAAAAGAAGACGTTCACACTTTGTCAGAATGGATTAAAAGTATCAAGTCCATGTTAAAATCGTGTATTAAAAGATTGAGGTGCAATGTGAAATCCATCTATCCTCCATCTGTATTCAATAATCCAGAAGTGAAAAAAAATTTAGATAGAGTACATGATCAGAACGTACTGGTCCCTGCTGACAAAGCAGGTAACGACATTGTCTTCGTTTGTAAGGCTCATTATATCAATTGTATTTTAGAAAAAACTTAGATTTAAATCTACAAGTGGTAATCCAACTTATACTCATAGTTTCCTTTCTAAGGAAAAAATTCTACAAAATCATATTCATAAGATTCCTTACATACCAAAATACATAACGGGTTCCATTAAATGTTAAACCAAGCATATTTCCTTAATCCTCACTAAGATATTAACAGTAGTGAAGGAGAAACTTCAAAAGTACTATGCAACAATATATTCAAGAAGTGGTGTAACTCAGATATGGATACTTAAATATTTCAAGGAACTATTGGACAACTTGCCAAATTATCAAAATCAACAGCTTAAAAACTTGCGACTTTTCAACTTTATACACAAACCGCGTATCAGATACTTTATATATCTCAGTTGATTCGATAGGCAAATGCATGCTATACGTATGAACAATTTCTAAAACAAGATAAATTATTGACAAACACGTTGATGAAACAAGAATACCAGCAGTCTCGTTTAAAGTCATCAATTCGTAAGTTCAATGGTCGACATTGTCAGCAAGTACAATTTATTATTGAGTCAAATAACTGACTGCCGATTTTCATACTTATTGTTAGTCTATTATTTATTCACTGAATTGACAGCAGATTTTCCCGTTATTTCCCAATCATAACAAGGAGCACACGGCGGGTGTGACCGGTCGGTAGTGGAAATTTTAGTCATTATTCTGATAGATGGTTAAACGTCTATAACCTCTGAAAATTTGAGCGAAATCCGTTGAGAAATGAGTGTGCAAAAAAAAAAAGAGTAATGGCACCTGATCCCACCTCTGATGTGTGAACAATAATAAATTTAATTTGCATCTATATCTGGCAGATATGATTTGTATAAAATCTGTATATAGTTGATTTTTGGAATCTCGAAACCTGAGTTAATATCTTAAACACAACGAAGATGTCTAAGACCTCTGTTTTTGAGGGGAACCTATGTCCGAAAAATCTTTTTGTGATATATAACAAAACATTTATGGACTGTTATCTGGCAATGCATTTTGTCAACCCCTCGAACCAAACCTCATGGCCTCAAGCAAGCAGTTTGGTTCTTGGATCCGACAAAACGCATGTTGCACTCGAACCCAGTCAATACAAATGTACTATATACTAGCAAACTGCTCCAAGGAAGATTTCAAAGTGTCTCTAAAATTCACATAGAATATTAAATATCGATATGTACATGTAAACAATTAACTCTTTAGCAAAATTACTTTTTAAAAAATTCTTTGAAATATAATGTTAAATTATGTACTGTTATATAATTCTGAACGTGTATGTTTCGTTGACAGATAGCTGCTTGCTTTTGCAAAAACAGACACTCTGGTCAGCGCTTTTGTCAGCTATATGCCAGAAGCTGTCCACTTTGTCAACAAATTGTGATAGCTGATGTGCATTTGGAGTTTATTCTTATATACAATATAAGAATAAGATGTCAGCTACATCTTATTTGCATATCAACAAATGCAGATATCTTATTTGCATATCAACAAATGCAAATAAGATGTAGCTGTCCCATTTTACCTAAGCGGTCCAATATCTCATCGACAGGTCCAACATCCCACTATGCCATCAAACATCAATATTTTTATGTCATCTCAATAAAAATTGGAAATGTTAGACGTTTTTGTGTAGAATTATATCGGGCACAATTTTTAAAGGTATATGTATAACAAAGTTTTTAGTTGTATAATTATAGCAAGGCTTTTCTCAGCTGGTATTAGATGTATATTTTATATAAAAGTTGCTCGGTCACAGATGCACCAAGAAAAGAATCAGTCCTAAGTGACCGAAAAAAGTAGATGAAATGATAATTTGATATGCATGTATGTTATAATTTTTAGATTTCCGAATACATGTAACGCGACACTAAGATGAAATATTTTGTACATAAAAATATTGTGAAAACATGTATGTTTGCCATGCAAAAATAAACAAACTATAGGTAAGTATATAATATGATAAATACCGGTATGTATCCTTTTCGAATTTATTGTAGATGCTTACAAAATGCTATAAATTCTAGGATCTGCTAATATTGATGGAAATGATTTTCCATCACTTGTTTGAGATTTTTCTCCTCCAGCTTATTTTGCTGAAAGGTTAGGTCAATCACCGATATACTACCAGGGAATTTCATTTGTTATAGGATTGACTATATAAAGTATAATGAAAAGGACTCCAATGTGCACAATTTATCGAAGCCAAAGGGTTTATTATGAAAATCACTTTTATAAGAAAAGTGTGTGATTCGTTATTTTATATTCTTAATTCGCAGAACAAATTAATTTTGTAGTTTGTGCTTAAATTCAATCATATTGTTGAATAAATTAAAAAACAATATTCGACCTTTAGGCCTTTCTATAATTTTATAGTTGGTTCCTAAATTCAGTCATCTTGATGAATAAATTAAAAACAAATATTCGACATTTACTTAAAAAGTTTAAAGACATATGCACCGTACGATACAAAAAAGATTGTTATTTAATAGATATTTTTCAGGATATTATCAATTATTATTAATAAACCAAGCTAAATCAATATATTTGTTTTTCTGTGTCTACTGCACAGCTGTAAGGGGGTTACATTTGTGTTATAGAGTATTGATTGTTGCAGATTTCATAAGCGTTTTATTTAAAAAAAAGATGAATGTATAATGCATTTGAAAGAAAAACGTTGCCATGTACCATTAAAAAAAGACTATTTTTATCTAAACCAATATCAAACTTAAATAGTTATTTACCTTAGATGTGTTACATTGCATTACTTTTGTAAATAATTTCAATGTTTTATTCTCTATTAAGCGGTACACTAGCAATAGGATTTATAGCACAACTTTCACGAAGTGTTAACCTTGGAGACGGACAATCTCTAATTATGTTAATGACTACAACAAATGGACAGGACACTTTGTTGCTCCGAGAACTGGATTGTATCTCTTTTCCTGTACCATAATGGCAGAAGGATCACATATAGTTCATATTCAAATTGTTAAAAACGGTCAACATATATCGACTATGCTTACCAATTCATCACTGTTTGATCAGAGCTCACAAAAAGTAATATTTTTTGGACCAGACAATCGGTTGGTGGGAGACTTCTACACGAGAGCCGTCGCTACAATGTGTTTTTCGATATTTTTGTCTCTGACAAAATTTAAACAATAATTTTTTTTGTCGGCAAATATGAATGATATTTTTTTTTCGTTTTAAAGCAATAGTTACAAATAAATACAGATACAACTTCTTTTGTAAATATTTATTTACATAATGCAAAATATGTATGTAACAAAACTTTATAAGTTCCAAGGATAATTTTTCCTGTCCAGTAATAGGGGTACAACAGTATAACATGCCTGGTATAATTAATTTAAAATTTGAAGATTCATGAGGTTAAGAACTACGACGCTTCATAATAAATATGCCGGCGTGAAGCGTTAGTTCATATAACTCATAAATCTTCAAAAAAAAAAAAAGAAACAATAATAATTAATCTCTTATATTTAAATTATCTTCCTGATGAGTTGTCACAAATTTATTGGATTCAATTGTAATCATTAAGGTAGGATTCTTCTCACATTTCTTGTATTCATTAATGAAATTTTCACAGAATCAATAGGACAATATCTCTAAGTTATGGTATCAGTGAGATTAAATTCGACCGTTTAATATACGAGGCAAGGTCAGGTCAAGATCATTACCTTTTTCCTGGACATTAAGAATAAAAAATTACTGTTTCCAATCATGCGATCCCTACTTGTGGTTCAAAAGATTAAATGTTTTTCTTTTTGCATAGAAAGATACTACCATATAGGCCCTATAAGATGAAATTACCAAATTGACATTGATAATTTAAATAAAATGGATATTTGCTAATCCGAATTTCCTCTACTTTTCTTAAATTTTTAGGATTTATTAGTTATTTTTATATGCTTCCTATATTTAACTTTTTCCAATTTTCACATATAGTAAATTTGTCACACAAAGGTACAAAATGATACAAAAACTGAAAGTTTTGATCGTTTACTAAGAGAGAAATAGCACTTTTTATTTTTGGCTCAATATATTGTTTTTTATGTTTGAAGCATTTAAAAGCCAACATAGTTTTAGTATGTGTGAAAAATCTTATTTATTTGATATATTTTGAAACTTTAGTCCCTTATTATTAATTTAACTAAACATTTAACTAAACATTTGAAAATTTCGTCTAGTCTTTGATTTCGTAAAAATGATAATTAAATTCAATGTTCTACAATAATTTTGAGAGGCAGAAAAGATATTTTCATACGCCATCATTCCGCCAAAAATATAGTCCCTGCTAGTTTTCAAACGCAGTTTACCATTTCTATTTATATATATAAGTTGTATAATTGTGATGACTTTTGTAAAAAAATTCTTTTAAATCTCTTACATCTAAATATATAAGACATATCAACAAATGTACTTTGATTTCCATAGCAAACCAGAGAAGAATCCTACCTTAAAGTAAAACAGTTTGCACTATAGTTTAAACGTCAAGTTTGGAATAATGGCGTAGCAATGGAGATATTCATGCTCATCCATTGTAGTTCATGAAAAAAAAAATACAAGAAAACCCAAACAGACTTCCTATTTGTAAAGAATCTTCAGGAAAATTACTTGGAAATGTATTCAAATATTTATAATTATTCTCTCATTTTTTTCTTAAATCTTGCATGAAATGATGCATGCATAACATAATATAAGAAAAGCTATATGACATTGTGAAAAAATTACAAGCAAAAAATAAGTTTCTAGAATTTTTTTTAAATAAGAATACAAATTCTTTTTTATATGACAAGACCTACTTTGAAACACACATAAACAGCATTCCTATATTACAATAAATACAAGGAAATGGGGAGGTCCCTCAGAAATGAAACTCAAAGAGTAAATGTGGATTCACATAAAAATTCATAAAAAAAGTTTTTTGACATATTTGAATCTATTGAAATTAGCAATTTATAGCCCTGACAGGAAAATGAATTTTTCTCAGTTTTTTTTAATCAGATTACTTAGATTCTCTTTATGAAAAATCAACGCGTACTTATTATTAAAGATCAATAACAGCTGGTTACGATTAGAAATACACAACAAAGTCTATTTTTTTTTAACAATCATAAATCTTTTGAAGATTTCAAATAATAAATTATGATGAGTATTTTATCAGTTATTTAATATTATCAAAAAATTATGATTGTGTTTTGAGTATTTGTACTGCACCTTCTGTTGCTTGTATTAATCTATAAAACGACAACACGCTTATAAAACATACAGTCAAAAACTTAAAAAAGTACGGTAAGTATACAAAATGTTTTTGTTTTAAAGTATTTTGTTGGATTGCTTTGCATATATATATAAGATATAAAATAAAAATAACATTAAAAAAATAAAATACTGATTTTAACCTTGATTTAATAGTCAATATTTTTCAACGGTTTTCGAGATTCCAAAAAAAATTCCTCTCTGGGAATAAAATATTATTTTAATCTCTCAACTACAGTAACTGCTGTTAAGTGACTTTACGACTTTTGTAAAATGTAATATAACTTTAAAAAGCAAGACCTACCCAGGGCCTTTTTTGGCACTGATAATTTATGAAAAATCAAAACTGCCCAGTTTTGACCGAAAATGCAGTATTTATCACTTGAACTGTCTGTGACTATGAATCTATTGAACACGGCTTAATTTCCCCTATATTCAATGCATTATGACGTCATAAATGCGTCATTCTCCCCATATCTTGTACATTCCTTTAACCTGGCCTAAAATTGAAGCATTTTAAAAGCTCATAAAGAGCATAACGTCTGATCCAAAATATGCAAGTACATGTACATAATGAAAGACCTGTTTCTGAAGATAAAAAAAATGTATTAATTTTTGGATCGTAGGCTGTTCTCATATTAATTCTTTGCTGAAGGTTAGCATTTCGCATGTTTTCTGCAAAATTCAAGAACATTGACAATTTTTCAAAGCCTGCTTTCCAATACCTGGATTCTCGCAAAGGAATTTTATTGTACGAAATGAAAGTACTAAGTCTCTACTTTATTTGATACGTGAAATGGGAAAGAGGTTCATGGTCAAATAATTGAAATCAGTACAGGGCCATTTTATGCATAAAGTGAACCTCGCTCTTTTCTAAAAGGTAAAAGTTAAACAAATTTTAAGATGACACTCAAGGTTTATGGAATAAATGTATTTTAAGATGAAACGTGATTAAGGTTCATTGATACTCTGATAAGAGAGATAACTCAAAATGACCTTAATTGCTATTAATTCTTTATAAATTTGCCAAGTTGAAGTGTCTTTTTAGTCCAATTTTGCCCCGCAAGCTATGCTATAATTAATTGTATTTAACTTATAAAATACATTTCTGTTGGACAATCATTAAGGTTCAAGCAACATTTTATATGAGTGAGCAGAGGGTGTATGAACCATAAAACACATGAAAATACAAGAATTTTTTCTCAATTTTACTTAAAAGAAAATATAGACAACAAAATGACATGTTCTTGAATGTACTGACAATGATTGTATTTTAGAATATATATATCGAAAAATTGACGGATTTTCTTTAAGCTGACGTCTTCCAAAATTAAAGAAACAACACTGCAACGACAACGAGACGTGCACCTATAATGGACAGAAAAGCTTTTGTCTGGACATTTTTCTTCTTAGCAAACGTCATCCATATAGGTTTGTCCTATCTCCCGCTTTGATAAATGATCGATAATTATTAATTTGCTTTGAACACTATTACTTTATTGTATCATCCAATCTTTTCGAGCAGATTTTTATAAACGAGACTTATTTAAATTCCAGGACATCTCAACCCAGCCGTAGGTTTTAGTGCTTTACTAACGCATGACACGTACCTAGGCAACAAACAGGCAGTTAAATATAACAAAGTCATCACTAATTATGGCAACGGATATGACAAATGGTCTGGACACTTTAAAGCTCCGATGAAAGGATTGTATGCCTTTTCCTGCTCTGTTATGGCTATTAACACCCATGCTTTACATATCGAATTGGTTAAAAATGGTCAAGTGGTATCTACAATTTACTCCAATCCTTCGTCCTATGATCAGGCTTCGGAGACTGTAGTCTTAGCTTTAAAGAAAGGAGAAAAAGTCTGGGCAAGACAGGCATATGGAGGGCGGCATGTCCGTGGAAGTTTTAATTTGTTTACAGGATATCTTATTTCAACACAGATTTAAAATAAAAAAAAACAGCAATAAAAAGTCGGAAAAAAAGTTCTAATTAGACATTTTAAATTTTGGATATTTGTTTATTCATTTACTACAGTTGATAATGGAAAACCAACAAGTAAATTGCGCGGAAAACAAGATGGCTTTTCTTCGTCATTTCCTTTTTATGAAGTTATATACATGTATCCCTATTGCATATCGCATATATCCCAGCCTTATCGATTCACAAGAGCATACTCTTAATATTACACTGAGTCAATATTAAACGATTTCTACTATTTGTTTTTAAATTATCGTCCAAACTTAGCGTTTCAAAAAGGGAATGCTGTTTTGAATGATTGGCTAAAAAATAAATGTCAGCGAATGTTGATGCGTAAATAAAAGTTTTTAAAGGTTTGCTTTTCCATTATGTATTACAGAATGCTTAATCTACCCTATTTCCGAACAATACTGCCGAAGATTTTAAGACTGTTTTTGTGTTCTATGTGATATCACTCCTCTCAACGAAACAATACAAATGACCAAGAGGAGTAAATACATGGTTTTAAGAATTGAAAAAAAATGCTCAGTTGAATTCAAAATAACATTAAATTTAATCAATATAACTAAAAAGAAAAACAGTTTCACAACTGATTTAAAAAGACCTTATAATGTTGCATAGCGTCAGAGAATGCAAAAATATGTGGAAAGAAAATTGGCGATATTGGTTTTTAATTAAGTAATTTATTTCGAATCGAAGTCAGACTTCCATATTTGTCTATCCTTTGTCGATCTTTCAAATTAAAACTGAAGGCCTATGTAAGAAATTTCTTTTTTGTAAGAGGCTTGTGAATATATTCTATTTCATATTAATACATAAAAGCAGAAATTTTAGGATTCAATTTTGGCATTATAAGTGACGCTTCTGAAATTGCCAAGATTAAGTATCCTTAACAATTTCCTCAGTATACGTTTGATAAATATTCTTTTTAATTTCTATTTGTTTCCTCGTGATAACATTTTAAAAGTTACATATAGATTAGTTGAATCCTATGGCAAGTCAAACGTTGCAATACTTGATCTTTTCCATTTGTATTGTAAAATTTTCCATTTGTATTGTATAATTTTTATTTGTATTGTATAATTTTCCATTGGTATTGTAAAAAAACCCATTTGTATTGTATACTTTTTATTTGTATTGTATAATTTTCCATCGGTATTGTAAAATTTTTCAATTTTAAATTTTTCCATTTGTATTCTATAATTTTTCATTTTTATTGTATATTTTCCATTTGCATTGTACAATTTTTCATTTGCATTGTATAAATTTTCATTTGCATTGTATAATTTTTCATTTATTTTGTAAAAGAAAATCATTTGTATTGTATAACTTTTTATTTGTATTCTATATTTTCCATTTGTATTGTATAATTTTTCATTTGCATTGTACCCGAGGGATTGTTTATTTCGTTTGTTATGAAGCCCCACCCCCCGGTTCCGACGCCTATGAGAGTGCCTTTTTACCTTTTTTTTGGTTGGTTTAGCCCCCCCCTCTTTCGATTAGCCCCCCTTTCAATTTGCTTCCGACGCCCATGCTGTGATTTGTTTTGGTTTCCGTCTCGGGGAAACAAAAATAGATCACAGTATGGGCGTCGGAAGCAAATCGAAAGTGGGGTAGGGGTTGGGACTAAACCAATCAAAAAAGGTAAATCCCAATTTTCAATGCCTATATAATGTCTACTTTTGCAAAAAAAGTGGGGGGGGGGGCTTAGCCCCCCGCCCCGGTTCTGACACCTATGCGACATAGTCAGAGACATCGGCCGTTATAATTGATAGCCAATGAGCGCTGCCCTTTACATTACTGGTCACCTGTCTGTATATCGAGGATCAGACAGGCAAGCCAGTCTATGCTCAGACTGGATAACTCGTGTAAACTTCCCGGAACATATATCTCGGGTATTACCAAATCCGATACAGTGGACCCTCAGATATCCGGATGCTTCAGTTTCCCCACGACTTATTCATGGGAACAGAATTTTTTAATGTTACTTTGTCTTGTTTAACTGGTAATTCAGATTTCCGGACGCTTCACATATCCGGACAAATTTACAAGGAACCAAATCGTCCGGATAAATGAGGCTCCACTGTATATGATTAGATTAATCCAATGAAATCCTTCGTAACAAACCAAAATAAACTATCCCTCGGTTACAATGCAAATGAAGAATTATACAATTTAAATGGAAAATATAGAATACAAATGAAAAATTATACAATACAAATGATTTTTTACAATATAAATGAAAAATATACAATGCAAATGAAAAATTATACAATGCAAATGAAAAAAAAAACAATGCAAATGAAAAATTATACAATACAAATGGAAAATATAGAATACAAATGAAAAATTATACAATATGAATGATTTTTTTTACAATATAAATGAAAAATATATAATGCAATTGAAAAATTATACAATGCAAATGAAAAATTATACAATACAAATGGAAAATTATAGAATACAAATAAAAATTATACGATACAAATGGAAAATTTTACAATAGAAATGGAAAAGATCTAATATTGCAACGTTTGACTTGCCATAGAATCCTTGATAATTCAACTGGAATGTAAATTTTGTCAAGCGATAGTTCAGGAGCTAAGAAGGCCTTACATGCATGTAAATCTCGTACGGCTGCATTTGTGTTTGATGTCAATGGGCGAGGTTATTGAAATTAACATGGCAGGCCACATGTAATTTGAATCTATTATAAACAACTTTTTTAAAGAATAATTATATTTACAATTTTATTTCACAATTAAATGTAAAAATAAGGGATCAGTGTCTATCTTGTTGGGTGTGCAAGGGAACAGCGGGTGTGACCGGTCGGCAGGGATCGATGCGTGGCACCTGATCATCCCACATCTGATGTTTTAAAAGTCTGTGTTTGCTCTTGTCCTATTTTGTATTGTTTTATGGACTTTTGATCTTGAATACTGTTTGTTATGTCCGTATGTTTCATTCGAAACTTGGGATGATTTGTATACCAGGCGACACTTTGGCAAGCCTGTCCCTCTATCATGTTTTCTTACCCTCGGCGAAGCCTGTAATGCAAATCATCCCACGCTCCGGCTTACCAAACAAAATAGACAGAGATACTTAAAAAAAAACATGGTTATCTTCATGAAGGTTGAGAGATATTTGGGCGAGGGTAAAGAATGTCTTCGATCCGAGCCCAAGTAACACTTACATTTCAAAATGATAAACATGTATTTTTTTATTCTGTAAGATATTTTTACATCTGAAATCCAAAACAAAATAGTTTCCGATTAACCAGTGGTTTTAGGAATGTTGAAATACACCAATGACGCTTCGTTAAGTCACTGACCAAATAAAGCTATAGTTTTTATGTTGCCTTTAGTATGTCAATGCAAGGGGTAGTTGCAGGTTAAAGATATTATTGTTAATATTATAGGAAGACTAAAAACCTCGCTAAAATGTTTATCATTTTTTGGAAAAAAAATCTAAATTTGCGAATCGCAAGAATTTCCAATTGTACTGTACAAAAATAGGTCTGCAAATACTTGGGCGCAGTTGATACCTTTGGGAAATATTGGAAAAATATTATGAAGATATTATTAGTATTTAAACCATCAACTCATGCCTAGAAACTTTAGATTAAAAAAAAAATCAAAAAGAAATGAAAGATCAATGAATAGCTAGGTAGTTCAATGAAAGGGTTCCAAATATCCATCTTTATCGAATGAGCGTCTGTATCAAAGGTATTTTCAACCTAAGACCTTCTTTGTACCCTATAGTTATAATACACGTAACTAGAACTATTGTAATCTTCTAGATGTTTCACGTTAAACGGCGAATCTTTTCCGAGAGTGACTTGATTTTTTTTGTTTACATTTTGATATTTTCTACATAGTTTGTCCTATTCCTGGCTGGCTGTGGTATTTCTTGTTTGTATACAGATTTTGCTAAACGTCGTTCCATCTGATGAACTTTCTGGAACTTCCTCGTAGTAATCTGCATTAAAGTCTCCCGCATGGTAATTCCAATTCTCGTCATTGCTCGACAATATGATCTGTTTTGTACTTGTTTTCGGAACATCGTTTGTTTTCCTATCAAAGCATTTGCATTCACCACGGACCAAACACATTCCTATAAGAAAACACATGGTAGCCGCAACTACGATACTGATCAAAAACTCCATTGAAATAAATGCGAATTTCTCGCCATCTGTTAAAAAAAATGTTCTAATGAAGTTGATAAAAATGCTAGTGAAAATTTAAAAAAAAATCAAAGTTCAGTAGTAAAGTGTGGTATAATTCAAACTGTGAAAAAACATTCATATTTTAAAATTTTTCTGAGGTCTTGTGTATATTACAATGCCTGAATGCAATATTCATAATAGGGACAAAAATATTTTTGGAATACAACTTTTAACAATGTTTTACTTACAGTATGATAATATATATACCTTCAACGCATGAGATCTGATCGTCCGTATTTATTTTATTTCCTCGCATTCTAAAACGTTCATTAGTACCAGTGCCGTTGGAAGTCAAACTCCATTCTTTATGCTGAACAAAATTCTCTTATGTTCCTTAGTTCTCCTGCCAAGCGACTGAGCTTGTTTTTGTTTTTTTTTTTTGTTAAAAGCTGGTAAAAACAAATAACATTATGTAGATGTGAAATATATCATTTATAAAAGTAAATGACGGAAAAGTAAAATACAGTTAACAAAATTGGGGTCAGAAAAAGGAGGACTCAAATATACACACAGTAACATGACGTACATAGGCAAAAAGGGGGGGGGGGTCAACCAGACTAAAATAAGAATTCAAACCCTGTAATCTTTCACAAGGTACAATAAACGTGCATTTCAAGTTGACCCCCTTGTAATCACCATAAGGTTCGAAGATATATAAAAAATGCTCTAAACTGCTGCCTGTCATAAAAAAAGGTGGGTAAATAAAATAACAAACAGCCACAATCTAATCAGAGATTGGATCCA